TATATGTGGGAGGCTGTAGTGAGCAAGGTGTGAGCTTGGAGTGACGGATGGGTTTAAAGTGAGTGCTGGGGGACATCAGGGACAAGTCCTAATCTTCTTCTTGTCTCCATTGCTGTTAGACAGTGCAGGCAGGAGTCACTAGTGTGAAAAAAATCACATTATTTTTTAGATGACACTGTGCTCTGTGGTAAGATGTAGAAAGTGTTAACTAAAAAAAGCTAAACTTAAATCTCTGGTTGTAAACAGGTTATAAAGGTGATAACTTTGTTTTATCACATAAAAACACATGTAACTGTGAATTATTTGAAAATAGCTTGAAAGTAAATATAATTGCATTTTTTTAGGATTAGCTAATGGAAATTAAATGATGCTATTTTCTGTTTTTTTATTGAAGGATGATATTAACTTGATGAAGGAGATGAAGCTGAATCATTATCGATTCTCTGTTTCCTGGCCGAGGATTCTACCCAGTGGAATAAGAAGTAAAAACACAATATTTATGCCTCATCACTATTTTGCCACTTGACTGTAAAATGTTGATTTCCATGAGTCAAGAAGTTTCCTTAAACACCTGACGCAGCAACAAAGACCAAAAGGCTGAAAGTGCCCAAGAAAACCTGTCTAAGCATTAGGATTACTGGTGACAGGTGAGGGAGGTTGGATTAGAAATCGGGCAGCTTTGATGTTTCCAAGCTTTGACGACTTTTATCGCCTCAGTCAATCTCAAAAATCCTAGATTAGTAAAAGACGTGTTAATCTAATCAATCCCTTTGTAAATTCATAAAACCATAAAAAATGGATGTCTCTGTGAAGAATACATCTACATGTATTTAGGAGTAATCTGGTACTTTAGGAGTAAAGTACTGCATCATAACTTAGCACAGCACTACACAAGGTGGAAGAAGAAGGTGAACTCCCTAAAGAAACACAGTGAAGGTCTTTGGACATCATCGCCGTACCGAGGGTGAATCCAAAAAGCGTGGCATGCAGTTTCATTTAGTCTTTAAGAGTAAACTTGAGAGGCACCTATGGCTGCAGCTAGAGCTAGAGGTCTTTGGAATATTTCTCCGCCTTTATAATATAATATAATTTGGATCTGGACTTTGACTAGGCCATTCTAGCTCCTTTTGTCACTGATAGTTATACAGGAGGTTGTGGAGAGATTTAAGCAAATCTTGACCCCCTCACAGGTCATCAGTTTGTCTTAAGATTGAAGAAAATTTGGATTAAATTACTTTTATATACAAGACTGTTGCTTTTTGGAGTCTTTTGGTTGATTATTTCCTGTCACCCAATCAGTGGGATCAGTCAGAGAAGACTATGAAAACTGTGGCTGTATATGTTCACTAGCTAATCAAACAAAAGTTTTATAAAACAGTAAGCCGTCTACTGCTGAATGAAGATGGTGACATGATTTTCTTGGTAAATCCTGCAGGTGAGCACATCAATGAGAAAGGAATTAGATATTATAACGACCTGATCGACATGCTGCTGGATAATAAGATCACACCTGTGGTCACTCTGTATCACTGGGATTTACCTCAGGTCAGTTCT